CCTTGCATAATGTCCTGTCACACCACAGAGCTTCTATACAGCTTCTGGTATGCCTTTGTGATCCAACATCTTGATACTCACAAGCGTTTGCTGAGCCCCAGAATCTATGACAAAGTTGCACCTTTGGTCATCCAGCTTTCCTGTCACGTAGACAGTATGTGTGTTTGCCATTTTACACTTAGCTGTTGGGACTTTCATGATGGGGGTTCGTGGGCGTCCCTCAGCACCAACCACTACTGGTCTCCTTGAGGCTGACTTGTTGGTAATATTCTTTTTACACTGGCTCCTCATATGTCCTTGCTTTCCACAATTCCAACAACCTTTCTGAGTAGCAGCCTTTCCTGCTATGGCATCTTCCCTGTATGTTTGCATACTTGGCTAGAAAAACGGACGACGTGGATCTTGTTAGTGGATAGGCTGTTGTTACTACTGCATTTTGTATTGTTTGTAGCTTTCTTAGGTGTTGGTGATTTGTGTTTATCCAAGCTGGGCATGTGTATTCTATAACTAGGCGGATGTATTTTTTGTATATTTTGAGCATATAGTCAGCTGATGTTCCATGGGTTTTGCCTGTTAGACACCTTTCATAGTCTGTACGTTGCCAAACTTTTGCTTTTATGTTATTAGTATGTTTAACCCACGTTAACTTCTGATCGTAGGTGAGACCAATGAATTTAGCTGATGTTTTCGTTTGGAGGTGTATACCCTTCATGTAAAGTTTAGGGGGATATTTTTTGAGTTTTGTAAAAACTGCAAGTTGATTTTTAGGAACATTTATTTTGATGCGGTATTTTTGACAGTATTCTACTATTCTATTCAACTGTGGTTGTAGAATGGTGGCGGCTATTGATCGGTGCACTTTTCCAAATAGCAACATCGTCTGCAAATTGCGATGCATGCCCATAATTTGTGTCGTCTAGGGCATATTATTAACATACACGATGAATAAAATAGGGCTAACTACCCCTTCTTGGGTGACGCCTGCCTCAGGAGTGAAATGTTCCGAGTAGATCCCCTACATTTTCTATCTTCCAGAAAAATTGGATAGCCAGCGAATGATACCACGTGGTAGTTCTAATTCTGACATTCTGAACCTGAGACCACTGTGCTTTGGAGTGTTGGATGTTTTCTTAACATCGAGAAAGCACTCAACATTGCATTCTTTTTTATTGAAGCTGTCTACTATTGATTCAGTTAATCTAACTAGGTGATCTGTTGTTTGTCTGAATTTTCTTAATCCGTTATGGGTTTCCGGTAATTTTGATGTGACCTCTAAATATGTAAGCAGCTGGTCATTCTGACAGGACAGTAACTATACGGTTTATTAGCTGGCTTTCCCTCTTTTAAGAACATTAATATATTTTCTTGCTTCCAAGAAACTTGGATGTATCCAGAATTTAATGTTAAGTTAAAAAGAGCCGTTAGGAGGTCAAACAATATCTGAGTATCTTTTTTTAAGAGTATGGTTTTGATGCCATCATCTCCTGTTGGAGATATATTTTTCGTATCATTTATAGATTGTATCACTTCTGCTACTGTTATGTATTTTATTACCTGACGAGCTGTGTGGTCGCTTTCGTTGTCTTCTATGTTCTCTACCTTTGTTGGGAAGAAAAGTATATATATATGTATATATATCTAAGTTTTGTGCTACGTGTTCATTAACTTGGGTATAGAAGTGTGTGTTCATGTCTGCCTCTGTGTGTGTGTTTTAAATGTTTTGTAGGTGTTGTTTAAATGCTTCCACTTTATCCTTGTTTGTATATGTTGTTTATTACAAGTGTATGTTCGTGTTGTTTTTCCGCTATTTGTGAACCATTTCAAATTTGACCACAATGTTTGGGATCTGTTGTTTCATTTACTTTAGAATAGTATTAGTCGCATTGTTCTTGTTTTAGTTGTTTTTGTCTCTGTTTTCTTATTTTGTTTCTGAGTGTGTGGCTTTTGATTTTAGTTGTCGGATCTCTGTTTTCCATGTATTCTCTGCGCTTTCTTCGTTCTTTAGTCATGTTAATTAACTGTGTATGTGGAAGCCATGTATGCTTTATTGCGGATTAATTATGTTTAGGTATCGATTTATGTGCTGCTATAATCATAGTAATAAATATAATGTTTCCTGGAATTTGAATTTCGTGCAAAGCTACACGAAGGCTATCTGCGCTAGCTGTTCCTAAATTAGGAGCGAAGGACACCTACCGCCAACTCTTGGGCTATTCTTTTAGAAAAGAAAAGTGAGTGGGATTGCCGTCACATTATATCGCTCCCACGGCTGAAAGAGCTCGTATGTTTGGTGTGACAGGGATTCTAACCCGCGACCTACAGAATCGGGGCGAGCATCCTAATCATCTGGCCATAACAGGCCTTATTCCTAGAGAACAAAGAGTTAAACAAGCAGTATTGTGATGATACATTACACAGTACAGGTTAACTTGATGCCATAGTTCGTTTTTTGTTTGTTTATTTTCAGTTAAGTACAAAGCTACACAATGGATTATCTGTGCTTTGCCCACCACGGGTATCGAAACCCGGTTTCTAGCATTGTACGTCCGCAGACATGCCAATGTATCGCTGGGGGATGCCACAGTTCGTATAAAAAATTGGCATATTCATAATTATTTGCAGTGTACGATATATATATATTTAAATGCGATAATTTTAAGGTTCCAATACGATAATTTTATATTAGATTTGGCAACACTGCCTAATGTAAGATTGCAAGTTTACTGATAATGGTGTAGATGTTTTAGTTGATGAAAGTCACAAACTCAGTAAAAAAGGTTTTTCGATACCTCACCTACTATAAAGGCTTGGTTTGGTCTGAAGCTTCATTGGTGGTAGTGTCCAGGGTCACTGATGAGGAGTGAAATTCTCCGAAACTAGAAAGAATAGACCATTCCAAGCTTTTACTTGTTGTTAAACAAATGTTTAAACAACTCTATTCAAAAAAGGTTTTTACTTTTAGATAAATAACTTTATTTAATTTTTTTCCAGCTTTTCCATTACTGTTTCGGAGGTCAAAGATTTGACTTTCTCTGTCCTAATTATACACTTTACGATCAGCAGACGTTCACATGTAGATTTGTAAACAAAGTCGACTGTGCTACATCTGAACTGTTTTACTACAAAAACGACGCTCTCTATGTGGAAACAACAACATTATCTGACGAAGACCAGAAAGAAAAAAAAGATGATGATTACGAATATTATTATGATGATGATGATGAGTAATAATTTGTTTTGTTTTAATTGCTTAATCACAGAGTGAAATTAAGATCGACAGTCTTTAACCCTAATGGGCTGCCTGTAAAATTATGTCCTACAATAACACACTGAAAGAGAATATTACATGTCGTTCGGATTAATTTTTATCGTTTTATTGTTTTAGTGTGGCACCTAATAAAGCTAATATTCATACATCCTTCGCTTTCTCCACCACTGAAATATTAGTAACATAATTTGAAGCTAGTATTAATCATCACATCCATGTCTAGTTAGTGTTTTAGATGAGAAAACTGAAAAAAGACATCCAAGTTTTCATTTATTGTGTTAAACCTAAATATACTAAAAACTGGTAATGAGTACAAAAACTTGTAATATTTAGACGCAAAAATTAATTTCAGTGATTATTCGAAAACCTACGAATTGTAACCTGGTAGAGAAAAAACTAACTAAATTTTAACGTTTAATTATTTTTTTGTACTTAATTCTTTCAAAAAGATAGCTACATTAAATAGTAGTAGTACACTTTTTATTGATCTTTAATTCACGCCGGTCATCAAACTACATAAGACTTGAAAGCATTAGTCAAATATCATGTTTAATAATTTTGTTATTATCAGCGTCCATTTTCGCAAACTTGTGTATCAACTCTGTAACTTTATCGAACTAGAACCCATAAAGTAAGCATTTAATTTAAGTAATAAGGTTAAAATCAGTTTAAAAACCGTTTTAATAACCGTAAAAAGACAATTCGACAGCTTTTTAACGTTTCCAAAACCTGCATAATAGAGATAAACTTAATATTTTATTTCACCACGTCAGATAATTAGGCATTGCTCTGACTGGGAAACGAGATAGCGTCCTTTGTAACATTCCCTACAAAACTAAATAGAATTATGCCCTAATGATGAAATGACAGGGGAAGCTAATACTCGTTGCTGAATATCTATTTTTTGTCAGAAGTGGCTTTTAGACAATTGATTTAGATCGACAGTGATCTTCACCATTTTAAAATTGAAAGTACACATGTTCTTTATGCTTTAAGTAATGAAATTAATTTGTTTTTCAACAATTGCAGCTTACACTTTATTAGAGAGATTTATATGTTGTTGTTTTTTTTTATGAACGAACCAGAATTGTATAGAACAATGATAATAATTACTATGCCCGAATAGTGGATTCGGACAAGGACTTCCTCTTCAAAACTATGGGTGTCCAACGCTGTTTGGTAGCATTCAGCAAGTTCTAGGTAGATTTAGCCAAGACCAAAATCAAATTACTGTTGTTGTCTATGTTTGGTTATGAAATTAGGTGTGTAAAACGGTTTTATGATATACTTCCAATATCAATGTATAACTCACACCTGTCGCTTATTAAATATGTATGACTAATTATTTCTCAAGCATTTAGTAGTATATTCATCTGCAAAGTTCATTATATACAACCTGTAGAGAATCTGTTCAAAAATCAAAATATTTCTTCGTAACCGAGAAAGAACTGAAACCTTAATGAACAAAACATTCAGTAAAGTACTGTTTGTATTTAGACACACAGAAACACAAACATTTCTTAGTTCATTTGCAAAGATCATTGGCTCAAGGATTTTCGAAAGTAGTTTTTATTGCCTGCTCAGTCCTAATGAAGAAAAATTAATGTTTTAAAAGTAGATTTTACCACGATATTTTGTAGTTTTACAAGTCAAAAGGTTTAATTTTTGGTTGAAAATATCAAGAATAAGATCTAAATGTAGCAAACAAAATCCAACCTCAACTTAAGAACTCTTGTCTTATTAACCCTAAACAAATGGCAAAACACGATATCAATACTTTCCACCACAAAACAGAAAGCTATTTCAGATTTACTTTCGATGTATTTGTAATTCTTAAGTCACAACTGTATCATCTTTAAGCGTCTGCTATCTAGCTGCATTGACTTCCAGCAGAAAAGTATTAAGTATCTGAAATACACGACAGATTTAGCAAACGTTAAGCAGAGAGTAAAATGAATATAGGCATGATATAACATACGGATAACAGGAGCCATTTGGTTTTTCAAGGCTGTCCTTACACACACACATCCCTTGAGAGAAGAAAATTTTAAATGCACCTGTATATATCAGGACATCGTTGATTCTCATTTAAACACCTGTAAAGTTCTGCCGTCCACTAGATCCGGCGACTACGCATTCCATAAACTATTCACCCCGTTAGAAAATATAACTCTCTTAACTAGAATCTAATTTCAAACTTGTATGCTATCGTCCTATTATCTTCGGATTATAGCATAAGGAAATCTTACAGGTAATTTTGTAAATTCCAATAAGATATTACCTTTCTTTCTCGAAAGTAAATAAGCTAAGATATATTAACGTCCCCATAACTAGCTTTCCATTTCCCAAATCATCTTTGTAGCCCTCCTCTAAATTATTTCCAGTAACTCAATAACATTTTTTAGATAATGAGACCAAAACTGTTAAAACAATAGTCACTAATCACTGATTCGTATAGGGATAATTGTAACCAATATGTCAATAAATACACTCTAAAATTCTATTAACTTTACAATTAGCAACAGAGCACTACTTCGATGATTTAAGTGATTTATCTACCATTATGCCAAGAGCCATTTATTTAGTCACATTAATAAGAGTGTTCCCATGTATATTAAACATGTGATCCAAATTATGATAACCCAAATTAATTATCTATCATTTACTATGATTAAGCATCATTTGCCAAATATTTGTACAACTTACTAACTGATCCAACACACCTAGAAATACATAAAAGTTTAATATCATGAACAAGCATTACTAACTTACTAATTAAGTTCCTATCAATAAGAAAAGAAAAAGGTCCAAGCCATAATACCCGAGACACTGCACTAGTAATAACAGCCTAGTTTGGCTGGACACGATTGGTAACAACAACACTACAATTCAACTACCCTATAGAAAAATTGAAACATTTTTGAGCAAGTCGAAAACGATAACTGTTACCTCAATATACATCTGAACTACTTCTCAGATGTCAGTTGCATGATCTCATACTGACTGAAACACAAATTGTGCGATATCATGGCATCAACTTATGAAAAATTATTTGTGACGTATCCTAACAAATTTTCTGTAAAATAACGTCATAACTGAAAAGCTGAGATTTAATTTTTCTTTTCATGTGATTTTATTAACATTTGTTTTGGATGAAATGATTATAAGAATATTGAAACATTAGTCCTAATTGTGGATTTTTAGCAGAGACATCTTGTCAATAGATGATACAAAAACGAAAATTCGTAGAGTTACAACACTTTTCAAGCATACTCGTACAATTTTAAAAGTTTCGTTAAAAATTATCTTTCTTGTTGTTAAAAGTGGGGTCACAGATCCCTTTTTTTAAATAAAGGTCAATGGCCCTTTGTCTCACACTCGCTCTCGGGCGCCTAGATATTGCACCTATCAAAAGTTTTTTGAAAATCTAAATACGCAAAGTCTACACCCTTTCAGACAACAACGATTAACATCCACGAGTAAAGGTAAAAGATTAGTAAGGCAATACTTCCATTTGATTAATTCATGTTAGCATTTTTTTATGATATCTTACTTCACTAAATCCATGATGTCAGAAAAACACGTAGGTTCAAGAAGTCTTAATATAAAACGATAAATACCCGATAATACGAACACTATCGAAAGGTGGACCCTTCTTTTTCAAGAGCAAACATTCCCATTTCACCCCTAAAGAAGAAAGGTCTACCTTTCGAAAGCGTTCGGGTTATAGGGTTTTCATTGTTTTATATTATTTCACTAAATTATTTTTTGAGCTTCTTTTATGAGACGAGAATTTTCCCACAACAAAAGTAAGACTGATGCACCTATAACTTCTAGGGTATCTCTTATCACCCCTTTTAAAAATAGAAGTAGCATTAACAACATTTGATTCCTCAGACGTCCGCCCATTATATATTGGCATACAAAAAAAAAGAAAAAAAGAAATATCCAAATATCTGCTCCCTGGCTTTACTTGAAATCCTGGAGAAACCCCATCTTATCCTGATGAACCATGTATTTTTAATCTCTCTACTTAATTTCTACTTACCCGGTTTCTAGCGTTGTAAGACCGAAGAAATATATGTATATACGTATGCATTGTAATAATATTAGGTCGTCGCTTATTTTATATGAAAAACCTCTAACAACTAGTATATCGAAACAAAACATTTATTAAATGAAGTAGTCTCTATTCTTATCGACGATGCTTTTCCATCTTACAGTCAGGTTGTTAATGCCCTGATTAAAGAAATCACTTAGCTTTGAAGCCAAAATATGACGATATCCTCTTTAACATGCTCCAC